GGTCACTTCCTGCTTGGAGAATGAGAACAGAAACTGGATCTAATAGCAGTTACCCTTAGCTTCGTATCACCTAGGCTTGTTGTTGGCTTTGCTCACATTGTCTACTTTCTCTGACCTAGAAGTCTTGAGAGTTCAGTTCAGCCATTGATGCTCCTTAGTTGGAGTAAGGCGTGTCATGTATATAGTGGAACTGTACCCATAGTATGGTTGGAACCTAGAGAGAAAGAGGAAGCAGATGAAGTGGAACACTCAGGACTTCTACAGCTCCAGAACAAAGCTGATATTATCCCTGGTAATGGTGGGAAGCCAAAAACAGAGAGTCATTTTTCCTATATTCATTCAGGAATGGAAATAAGACCTATGGATTATGTTCCTAATTTCATCACTCTCTTGCTACATGACTTGAACAAGTCATTCAACTGTGAATTGCTTCTTGATTACAACAGAATGAAGTTAATCATGCCTGACTAATTCTGAACAACTATTATAAATAATCAGACCTACTTATGTGTTTAAACAAGAAATGAGAATAGTAAGGGGTTGATCTCTCTTTTTCCTCCCTTTAGGTTACTCAAACTTGCAAAAAAAAAAAAAAAAAAAATGCCTAAACTCCTACAAGGCATCATCACTGTCATTGATGTTTTCTACCAATATGCCACCCAGCATGGGGAGTATGATATGTTGAACAAGGCAGAGCTGAAAGAACTTCTGGAAAATGAGTTTCATCAAATTCTGAAGGTAAGAACTCCATGCCAGGATGGAATTATGCAGGAATTTTCTTCTTTATCCCTTTCCACCTTCTTGTCACATATGTCAAACATCCTAGAGGACTCTTCCTACTTGGTGATAGAGAACAGGGTTTGGTAAAGGTTTGAGATAACGTCAAAAGCTGATCCATGATGGTTTCCATAGCATAACTAAAGGAAGTGATCCTACTAAACAACAAACAAAACCCATAGATTAAATAATGTCCAATCTAAGTGACTAATTCTTACAAACCCACACAGTCCTCAGAAAAACTGCAAAGTAGATATCTGAGTTCAGGAAATTAGCATTACCCCTGAATCACAAAAGAGTGTGTCCGCCACCTTAAAACTGTCAGGTCTAGATTTGATAGCTTAGATATTTGGGAGCTTATATCAGACTTCTGAGTTTCAATTCCTTAAATTTGGATTTCTGTGGATTTCAGATATGATATTCGGATATCAGATGTCATATATTCAGTGTGTCAGCTAAGAATCTCATAATCTTCACCTCTAACCTTGTTTCTTCATCTTTTTGCCGAAAGCAAAAACCTGATATCATTTTTTATTTTCTCTCTCTCAGCAGACACCACTACCTTCCAACCTCCATCTAACTCATCAATAATCTCTCAAAACAACCCGTTTCTCTTCATCACTATTATTAGTCCTCTGGTTCAGGCCACCTACTACTTCTACTCTCAGCATTAGATGCAAATATAATCATTTCACTCCTCAGCTAAAAATCCTTCAATAGTTCCCGATTGCTCTTAAAATGAAGTACAAAGTTCCTTAACATAACGTAAAACTCATAATCTAGTTGCTATTTATCTCTCTATCCACATTTCTTGAGTATTCAAACTCTAAATCTAGCAATCCTGAATTTCTTTCAGTTCCCTGAAAGCTCTATGACTTCTCTCACCTGTAGCCATTTGTTCATATCATTCCCTCTGCCTAGAACAATCTTTTCCCCTTCTCCTTCCCTTCCTACTCCTTCATTTGGCTAATTCTAATCCATCCTTCAAAAGGCATCATTTCCTCTCATTAACCTTTCTAGGACCCCCAATGGTTCCTCTCTCATGTACTCTTGTAGAAACCTTATCATAATAAACTATAATTTTAAGTTTGTATATCTGATCAAATAAACATTAAATTCCATTTTTTTCAGGAAGCAAACTTGTTCACTGCTTTATACTCTCATATGACATAATGGTAGGCAAGTAGTAACATAATAAATCTTTGCTCAGTGAGTAAATTAATTACCTAGTTAATTTAATTGGACAAATAAAGTTGATATAATTAACGTAAGTATAAAAATGTATTACTTGTAAATTAACTAATCATTCATATTTGACCCATTCTTTACCAAAAATAATCAGCCCTCTTGTTTCCTTTCATTTTCCAGTTGCATCCTATCCTATTCTAGCTGTTTCTCACCGCATTATTCATTCCATATTCCTTTTTCTCTTTCTGCTCAGGACTGCCTAAGTGACTATGTGAATGAGTTCCATATACATAAGCCAAACATTTATATTTTAACATCCTTCCTTCAGTTGGTTAGCTAGGTGTATTGTCCATACTAACAGAGCTACTCTTTGTACCTTGCTCTTATACAGAATCCAAATGATCCAGATACTGTGGATATCATCTTGCAAAATCTGGATCGAGACCATAACAAGAAAGTGGATTTTACGGAGTATCTTCTGATGATATTCAAGCTGGTTCGGGCTCATAATAAAATCATTAGCAAAGATTACTGCCAAGCTTCAGGGTCAAAGCTGAGAGACGACAGTCACCAGCACCAAGAGGAACAAGAAGAAACAGGAAAAGAGGACAAATGGCAAGAATCCTCTTCTAGTCATTCAAGTTGGAGTGCAGGAGAGAATGATTCCCATTCCAGGAACGTCAGAGGAAGCATTACACACGGGCCTGAATCCATATCCAGAAGACTGAGTTTTCAAAGAGACTTTTCTGGCCAAAATAAATCCAGCTCAGGTCAGTCTTCCAGGTATGGTCAGCATGAGTCTGGCTCCCATCAGTCTCCAGGACACGGCCAACGTGGGTCTCACTCAGGGCAGTCTCCCACCTATGGTCGACTTGGGTCTGGCTACAAACGGTCTTCCAGCAGTGGGCCACATGGGTCTGGCTCACGCCAGTCTTCTGCCTTTGGTCAACATGAGTCTACCTCAGGGCAGTCCTCTGAAAACAATGAGCATGGATCTGGCTCAGGGCACTCCTTCAGCCATGGGCAGCATGGTTCTACATCAGGACAGTCATCAAGCTTTGGCCAGAAGGGATCTAGCACAGGCCAGTCTTCCAGATACGACCACCATGACTCTAGCTCCAGTCAGTCTCCTGGCTATGGCCAACACAGGGCTGGATCTGGCCAGTCTCCTAGCCGCGGCCTACATGGGGCTGGCTCCGGTCTGTCTTCCAACTGTGGCCCACAAGGGTCTGGCTCAGCACAGTCTTCGGGCTTTGGTCAATATGAGTCTAGCTCAGGGCAGTCCTCTGGTTACAGTCAGCATGGATCTGGCTCAGGTCACTCCTCCGGCTATGGACAACACGAATCTAGGTCAGGACAGTCATCTAGGGGAGAACAACACGGATCTAGCTCAGGTTCCTCTTCTACCTATGGTCGACATGAGTCTGGCTTTCATCAGTCTTCTGGCCACGGCCGAAATGGGTCTGGATCTGGCCACTCGCCTACCAGTAGCCGCGGCCGACATGGGTCTGGCTCAGGGCAGTCTTCAAGCCGTGGCCCATATCAGTCTGACTCAGGTCACTCGTCTGGCTTAGGTCAACATGAGTCTCACTCAGGACAGTCCTCTGGCTACGGTCAACATGGATCTAGCTCAGGTAACTCCTTTACCCATGGGCAACATGGTTCTACATCAGGACAGCCATCAAGCTGTGGCCAACATGGAGCTAGCTCAGGTCAGTCTTCCAGCCACGGTCAGCATGGCTCTGGCTCAAGTCAGTCTTCTGGCTATGGCCGACAGGGCTCTGGATCTGGCCAGTCTCCTAGTCGTGGCCGACATGGGTCCGGTTCCGGGCACTCTTCTAGCTACGGCCAACATGGGTCTGGCTCAGGTCGTTCTTCCAGCCATGGCCCATATGAGTCTGGTTCAGGTCACTCTCCTGGCTTTGGTCAACATGAGTCCGGCTCAGGACAGTCCTCTGGATACAGTCAGCATGGAAGTGGCTCAGGGCACTCCTCTAGCCAAGGACAGCATGGTTCTACATCACGACACTCATTAAGCTTTGGCCAGGAGGGATCTAGCACAGGCCAGTCTTCCAGCTACAGCCACCAGAGCTCTGGCTCCAGTCAGTCTTCTGGCTATGGCCGACATGGGGCTGGATCTGGCCAGTCTCCTAGCCGTGGCCGACATGGGTCTGGTTCAGGGCAGTCTTCCAGCTACGGCCAGCATGGGTCTGGCTCAGGACAGTTCTCTGGTTATAGTCAGCATGGAAGTGGCTCAGGGCACACCTCTAGCCATGGACAACATGGTTCCACATCAGGACAGTCCTCAAGCTTCGGCCAGAAGGGATCTAGCTCAGGGCAGTCTTCCAGCTACGATCAGCATGGCTCTGGCTCACATCAGTCTTCCGGCCATGGCCGACATGGGTCTGGATCTGGCAGGTCTCCTAGCCAGGGCCGAAATGGGTCCAGTTCGGGGCACTACCCTGGCCACGGCCAACAAGGATCTGGCTCAGGTTGTTCCTCCAGCCGTGGCCATTATGAGTCTGGCTCAGGCCAGTCTTCTGGCTTTGGGCAACATGAGTCAGGCTCAGCACAGTCCTCTGGCTATAGTCAGCATGGTTCTGGCTCAGGTCACTCCTCTAGCCAGGGACAACATGGATCTACATCAGGGCATTCGTCAAGCTCTGGCCAACATGGCTCTAGCTCAGGTCAGTCTTCCAGCTATGGTCAGCATGAGTCTGGCTCCCATCAGTATTTGGGTCGCGGCAGACATGGGTCTGGATCTGGCCAGTCTTCAGGCCGTGGCCGACGTGGGTCTGGGTCAGGGCAGTCTCCCAGCTACGGCCAACATGGGTCTGGCTCAGGTCGTTCTTCAAGTCAGTCTTCTGGCTATGGCCGACAGGGCTCTGGATCTGGCCAGTCTCCTAGTCACGGCCGACATGGGTCCGGTTCCAGGCACTCTTCTAGCTACGGCCAACATGGGTCTGGCTCAGGTCGTTCTTCCAGCCATGGCTCATATGAGTCTGGTTCAGGTCACTCTTCTGGCTTAGGTCAACATGAGTCTCGCTCAGGACAGTCCTCTGGCTACAGTCAACAAGGATCTAGCTCAGGTCACTCCTTTACCCATGAGCAACATGGTTCTACATCAGGACAGTCATCAAGCTGTGGCCAACATGGAGCTAGCTCAGGTCAGTCTTCCAGCCACGGTCAGCATGGCTCTGGCTCAAGTCAGTCTTCTGGCTATGGCCGACAGGGCTCTGGATCTGGCCAGTCTCCTAGTCGTGGCCGACATGGGTCCGGTTCCGGGCACTCTTCTAGCTACGGCCAACATGGGTCTGGCTCAGGTCGTTCTTCAAGTCAGTCTTCTGGCTATGGCCGACAGGGCCTCTGGGATCTGGCCAGTCTCTAGTCGTCCGCTCCATGGCACTCTATCTGAGTCTCCTAGTGCCGACATGGGTCGTCGGGCTCCAGAGGCCATGGGTCTGGCTCAGGGTCACTCTTCTGGCTTCTGGGTCAACATGGTCTCGCTCAGCGTCTCTGCTAGGCAACAAGGATCTAGCTCAGGTCCTTTACCATGGCCATGGTCTACATAGGAAGTCTCAGTGTGGCCTCAGGTCAGTCTTCCAGCCACGGTCAGCATGGCTCTGGCTCAAGTCAGTCTTCTGGCTATGGCCGACAGGGCTCTGGATCTGGCCAGTCTCCTAGTCGTGGCCGACATGGGTCCGGCTCCGGGCACTCTTCTAGCTACGGCCAACATGGGTCTGGCTCAGGTCTTCTTCAAGTCAGTCTTCTGGCTATGGCGACAGGCTCTGGATCTGGCCAGTCTCCTAGTCACGGCGACATGGGTCCGGGCACTCTTCTAGCTACGGCCAACATGGGTCTGGCTCAGGTCGTTCTTCCAGCCATGGCCCATATGAGTCTGGTTCAGGTCACTCTTCTGGCTTTGGTCAACATGAGTCTCGCTCAGGACAGTCCTCTGGCTACGGTCAACAAGGATCTAGCTCGGGTCACTCCTTTACCCATGGGCAACATGGTTCTACATCAGGACAGCCATCAAGCTGTGGCCAAAATGGAGCTAGCTCAGGTCAGTCTTCCAGCCACGGTCAGCATGGCTCTGGCTCAAGTCAGTCTTTTGGCTATGGCCGACAGGGCTCTGGATCTGGCCAGTCTCCTAGCCGTGGCCGACATGGGTCTGGTTCAGGGCAGTCTTCCAGCTACGGCCAGCATGGGTCAGGCTCAGGACAGTCCTCTGGTTATAGTCAGCATGGAAGTGGCTCAGGGCACGCCTCTAGCCATGGACAACATGGTTCCACATCAGGACAGTCCTCAAGCTTCGGCCAGAAGGGATCTAGCTCAGGGCAGTCTTCCAGCTACGGTCAGCATGGCTCTGGCTCACATCAGTCTTCCGGCCATGGCCGACATGGGTCTGGATCTGGCAGGTCTCCTAGCCAGGGCCGAAATGGGTCCAGTTCGGGGCACTACCCTGGCCACGGCCAACAAGGATCTGGCTCAGGTTGTTCCTCCAGCCGTGGCCATTATGAGTCTGGCTCAGGCCAGTCTTCTGGCTTTGGGCAACATGAGTCAGGCTCAGCACAGTCCTCTGGCTATAGTCAGCATGGTTCTGGCTCAGGTCACTCCTCTAGCCAGGGACGACATGGATCTACATCAGGGCATTCGTCAAGCTCTGGCCAACATGGCTCTAGCTCAGGTCACTCTTCCAGCTATGGTCAGCATGAGTCTGGCTCCCATCAGTATTCGGGTCGCGGCAGACATGGGTCTGGATCTGGACAGTCTTCAGGCCGTGGCCGACGTGGGTCTGGGTCAGGGCAGTCTCCCAGCTACGGCCAACATGGGTCTGGCTCAGGTCGTTCAAGTCAGTCTTCTGGCTATGGCCGACAGGGCTCTGGATCTGGCCAGTCTCCTAGTCACGGCCGACATGGGTCCGGTTCCGGACACTCTTCTAGCTACGGCCAACATGGGTCTGGCTCAGGTCGTTCTTCCAGCCATGGCTCATATGAGTCTGGTTCAGGTCACTCTTCTGGCTTAGGTCAACATGAGTCTCGCTCAGGACAGTCCTCTGGCTACAGTCAACATGGATCTAGCTCGGGTCACTCCTTTACCCATGAGCAACATGGTTCTACATCAGGACAGTCATCAAGCTGTGGCCAACATGGAGCTAGCTCAGGTCAGTCTTCCAGCCACGGTCAGCATGGCTCTGGCTCAAGTCAGTCTTCTGGCTATGGCCGACAGGGCTCTGGATCTGGCCAGTCCCCTAGTCGTGGCCGACATGGGTCCGGTTCCGGGCACTCTTCTAGCTACGGCCAACATGGGTCTGGCTCAGGTCGTTCTTCCAGCCATGGCTCATATGAGTCTGGTTCAGGTCACTCTTCTGGCTTAGGTCAACATGAGTCTCGCTCAGGACAGTCCTCTGGCTACAGTCAACATGGATCTAGCTCGGGTCACTCCTTTACCCATGAGCAACATGGTTCTACATCAGGACAGTCATCAAGCTGTGGCCAACATGGAGCTAGCTCAGGTCAGTCTTCCAGCCACGGTCAGCATGGCTCTGGCTCAAGTCAGTCTTCTGGCTATGGCCGACAGGGCTCTGGATCTGGCCAGTCTCCTAGTCGTGGCCGACATGGGTCCGGTTCCGGGCACTCTTCTAGCTACGGCCAACATGGGTCTGGCTCAGGTCGTTCTCAAGTCAGTCTTCTGGCTATGGCCGACAGGGCTCTGGATCTGGCCAGTCTCCTAGTCGCGGCCGACATGGGTCCGGTTCCGGGCACTCTTCTAGCTACGGCCAACATGGGTCTGCTCAGCCATGGCATATGAGTCTGGTTCAGGTCATCTCTGGCTTGTCACATGAGTGCTCAGGACAGTCCTCTAGCCAATGGGTACCAGGCCATGGTTCTACATCAGGACACCATCAAGCTTGGCCAAAGGACTAGCCAGGCAGTCTTCCAGCCACGTCAGCATGGCTCTGGCTCAGTCAGTCTTTGGCTATGGCCGACAGGGCTGGATCTGGCCAGTCTCCTAGCCGTGGCCGACATGGGTCTGGTTCAGGGCAGTCTTCCAGCTACGGCCAGCATGGGTCAGGCTCAGGACAGCCTCTGGTTATAGTCAGCATGGAAGTGGCTCAGGGCACGCCTCTAGCCATGGACAACATGGTTCCACATCAGGACAGTCCTCAAGCTTCAGCCAGAAGGGATCTAGCTCAGGGCAGTCTTCCAGCTACGGTCAGCATGGCTCTGGCTCACATCAGTCTTCCGGCCATGGCCGACATGGGTCTGGATCTGGCAGGTCTCCTAGCCAGGGCCGAAATGGGTCCAGTTCGGGGCACTACCCTGGCCACGGCCAACAAGGATCTGGCTCAGGTTGTTCCTCCAGCCGTGGCCATTATGAGTCTGGCTCAGGCCAGTCTTCTGGCTTTGGGCAACATGAGTCAGGCTCAGCACAGTCCTCTGGCTATAGTCAGCATGGTTCTGGCTCAGGTCACTCCTCTAGCCAGGGACGACATGGATCTACATCAGGGCATTCGTCAAGCTCTGGCCAACATGGCTCCAGCTCAGGTCACTCTTCCAGCTATGGTCAGCATGAGTCTGGCTCCCATCAGTATTCGGGTCGCGGCAGACATGGGTCTGGATCTGGACAGTCTTCAGGCCGTGGCCGACGTGGGTCTGGGTCAGGGCAGTCTCCCAGCTACGGCCAACATGGGTCTGGCTCAGGTCGTTCTTCAAGTCAGTCTTCTGGCTATGGCCGACAGGGCTCTGGATCTGGCCAGTCTCCTAGTCACGGCCGACATGGGTCCGGTTCCGGGCACTCTTCTAGCTACGGCCAACATGGGTCTGGCTCAGGTCGTTCTTCCAGCCATGGCTCATATGAGTCTGGTTCAGGTCACTCTTCTGGCTTTGGTCAACATGAGTCTCGCTCAGGACAGTCCTCTGGCTACAGTCAACAAGGATCTAGCTCGGGTCACTCCTTTACCCATGAGCAACATGGTTCTACATCAGGACAGTCATCAAGCTGTGGCCAAAATGGAGCTAGCTCAGGTCAGTCTTCCAGCCACGGTCAGCATGGCTCTGGCTCAAGTCAGTCTTCTGGCTATGGCCGACAGGGCTCTGGATCTGGCCAGTCTCCTAGTCGTGGCCGACATGGGTCCGGTTCCGGGCACTCTTCTAGCTACGGCCAACATGGGTCTGGCTCAGGTCGTTCTTCAAGTCAGTCTTCTGGCTATGGCCGACAGGGCTCTGGATCTGGCCAGTCTCCTAGTCGCGGCCGACATGGGTCCGGTTCCGGGCACTCTTCTAGCTACGGCCAACATGGGTCTGGCTCAGGTCGTTCTTCCAGCCATGGCCCATATGAGTCTGGTTCAGGTCACTCTCCTGGCTTTGGTCAACATGAGTCCGGCTCAGGACAGTCCTCTGGATACAGTCACCATGGAAGTGGCTCAGGGCACTCCTCTAGCCAAGGACAGCATGGTTCTACATCACGACACTCATTAAGCTTTGGCCAGGAGGGATCTAGCACAGGCCAGTCTTCCAGCTACAGCCACCAGAGCTCTGGCTCCAGTCAGTCTTCTGGCTATGGCCGACATGGGGCTGGATCTGGCCAGTCTCCTAGCCGTGGCCGACATGGGTCTGGTTCAGGGCAGTCTTCCAGCTACGGCCAGCATGGGTCAGGCTCAGGACAGTCCTCTGGTTATAGTCAGCATGGAAGTGGCTCAGGGCACGCCTCTAGCCATGGACAACATGGTTCCACATCAGGACAGTCCTCAAGCTTCGGCCAGAAGGGATCTAGCTCAGGGCAGTCTTCCAGCTACGGTCAGCATGGCTCTGGCTCACATCAGTCTTCCGGCCATGGCCGACATGGGTCTGGATCTGGCAGGTCTCCTAGCCAGGGCCGAAATGGGTCCAGTTCGGGGCACTACCCTGGCCACGGCCAACAAGGATCTGGCTCAGGTTGTTCCTCCAGCCGTGGCCATTATGAGTCTGGCTCAGGCCAGTCTTCTGGCTTTGGGCAACATGAGTCAGGCTCAGCACAGTCCTCTGGCTATAGTCAGCATGGTTCTGGCTCAGGTCACTCCTCTAGCCAGGGACGACATGGATCTACATCAGGGCATTCGTCAAGCTCTGGCCAACATGGCTCTAGCTCAGGTCACTCTTCCAGCTATGGTCAGCATGAGTCTGGCTCCCATCAGTATTCGGGTCGCGGCAGACATGGGTCTGGATCTGGACAGTCTTCAGGCCGTGGCCGACGTGGGTCTGGGTCAGGGCAGTCTCCCAGCTACGGCCAACATGGGTCTGGCTCAGGTCGTTCAAGTCAGTCTTCTGGCTATGGCCGACAGGGCTCTGGATCTGGCCAGTCTCCTAGTCACGGCCGACATGGGTCCGGTTCCGGGCACTCTTCTAGCTACGGCCAACATGGGTCTGGCTCAGGTCGTTCTTCCAGCCATGGCTCATATGAGTCTGGTTCAGGTCACTCTTCTGGCTTTGGTCAACATGAGTCTCGCTCAGGACAGTCCTCTGGCTACAGTCAACAGGATCTAGCTCGGGTCACTCCTTTACCCATGAGCAACATGGTTCTACATCAGGACAGTCATCAAGCTGTGGCCAACATGGAGCTAGCTCAGGTCAGTCTTCCAGCCACGGTCAGCATGGCTCTGGCTCAAGTCAGTCTTCTGGCTATGGCCGACAGGGCTCTGGATCTGGCCAGTCCCTAGTCGTGGCCGACATGGGTCCGGTTCCGGGCACTCTTCTAGCTACGGCCAACATGGGTCTGGCTCAGGTCGTTCTTCAGCCATGGTCATATGGTCTGGTTCAGTCACTTTCTGGCTAGTCACTGAGTCTCGCTCAGACAGTCTCTGGTACAGTCACAGGATCTAGCTCGGGTCACTCCTACCCATGAGCACATGGTTCTACATCAGGCAGTCATCAGCTGTGGCCAACATGGAGCTGCTCAGGTCAGTCTTCCAGCCACGGTCAGCATGGCTCTGCTCAAGTCAGTCTTCTGGCTATGGCCGACAGGGCTCTGGATCTGGCCAGTCTCCTAGTCGTGGCCGACATGGGTCCGGTTCCGGGCACTCTTCTAGCTACGGCCAACATGGGTCTGGCTCAGTCGTTCTTCAAGTCAGTCTTCTGGCTATGGCCGACAGCGCTCTGGATCTGGCCAGTCTCCTAGTCGCGGCGACATGGGTCCGGTTCCGGGCACTCTTCTAGCTACGGCCAACATGGGTCTGGCTCAGGTCGTTCTTCCAGCCATGGCTCATATGAGTCTGGTTCAGGTCACTCTTCTGGCTTTGGTCAACATGAGTCTCGCTCAGGACAGTCCTCTGGCTACGTCAACAAGGATCTAGCTCGGGTCACTCCTTTACCCATGGGCAACATGGTTCTACATCAGGACAGCATCAAGCTGTGGCCAAATGGAGCTAGCTCAGGTCAGTCTTCCAGCCACGGTCAGCATGGCTCTGGCTCAAGTCAGTCTTTGGCTATGGCCGACAGGGCTCTGGATCTGGCCAGTCTCCTAGCGTGGCGACATGGGTCTGGTTCAGGGCAGTCTTCCAGCTACGGCCAGCATGGGTCAGGCTCAGGACAGTCCTCTGGTTATAGTCAGCATGGAAGTGGCTCAGGGCACGCCTCTAGCCATGGACAACATGGTTCCACATCAGGACAGTCCTCAAGCTTCGCCAGAAGGGATCTAGCTCAGGGCAGTCTTCCAGCTACGGTCAGCATGGCTCTGGCTCACATCAGTCTTCCGGCCATGGCCGACATGGGTCTGGATCTGGCAGGTCTCCTAGCCAGGGCCGAAATGGGTCCAGTTCGGGGCACTACCCTGGCCAGGCCAACAAGGATCTGGCTCAGGTTGTTCCTCCAGCCGTGGCCATTATGAGTCTGGCTCAGGCCAGTCTTCTGGCTTTGGGCAACATGAGTCAGGCTCAGCACAGTCCTCTGGCTATAGTCAGCATGGTTCTGGCTCAGGTCACTCCCTAGCCAGGGACGACATGGATCTACATCAGGGCATTCGTCAAGCTCTGGCCAACATGGCTCAGCTCAGGTCACTCTTCCAGCTATGGTCAGCATGAGTCTGGCTCCCATCAGTATTCGGGTCGCGGCAGACATGGGTCTGGATCTGGACAGTCTTCAGGCCGTGGCCGACGTGGGTCTGGGTCAGGGCAGTCTCCCAGCTACGGCCAACATGGGTCTGGCTCAGGTCGTTCTTCAAGTCAGTCTTCTGGCTATGGCCGACAGGGCTCTGGATCTGGCAGTCTCCTAGTCCGGCCGACATGGGTCCGGTTCCGGGCACTCTTCTAGCTACGGCCAACATGGGTCTGGCTCAGGTCGTTCTTCCAGCCATGGCTCATATGAGTCTGGTTCAGGTCACTCTTCTGGCTTTGGTCAACATGAGTCTCGCTCAGGACAGTCCTCTGGCTACAGTCAACAAGATCTAGCTCGGTCACTCCTTACCCATGAGCAACATGGTTCTACATCAGGACAGTCATCAAGCTGTGGCCAACATGGAGCTAGCTCAGGTCAGTCTTCCAGCCACGGTCAGCATGGCTCTGGCTCAAGTCAGTCTTCTGGCTATGGCCGACAGGGCTCTGGATCTGGCCAGTCTCCTAGTCGTGGCCGACATGGGTCCGGTTCCGGGCACTCTTCTAGCTACGGCCAACATGGGTCTGGCTCAGGTCGTTCTTCAAGTCAGTCTTCTGGCTATGCCGACAGGCTCTGATCTGGCCAGTCTCCTAGTCGCGGCCGACATGGGTCCGGTTCGGGCACTCTTCTAGCTACGGCCAACATGGTCTGGCTCAGGTCGTTCTTCAAGTCAGTCTTCTGGCTATGGCCGACAGGGCTCTGGATCTGGCCAGTCTCCTAGTCACGGCCGACATGGGTCCGGTTCCGGGCACTCTTCTAGCTACAGCCAACATGGGTCTGGCTCAGGTCGTTCTTCCAGCCATGGCTCATATGAGTCTGGTTCAGGTCACTCTTCTGGCCTAGGTCAACATGAGTCTCGCTCAGGACAGTCCTCTGGCTACAGTCAACAAGGATCTAGCTCGGGTCACTCCTTTACCCATGAGCAACATGGTTCTACATCAGGACAGTCATCAAGCTGTGGCCAACATGGAGCTAGCTCAGGTCAGTCTTCCAGCCACGGTCAGCATGGCTCTGGCTCAAGTCAGTCTTTTGGCTATGGCCGACAGGGCTCTGGATCTTGCCAGTCTCCTAGTCACGGCCGACATGGGTCCAGTTCCGGGCACTCTTCTAGCTACGGCCAACATGGGTCTGGCTCAGGTCGTTCTTCCAGCCGTGGCCCATGTGAATCTGGTTCAGGTCACTCTTCTGGCTTTGGTCAACATGAGTCTGGCTCAGGACAGTCCTCTGGATACAGTCAGCACGGAAGTGGCTCTGGGCACTCCTCTAGCCATGGACAGCATGGTTCTACATCACGACACTCATTAAGCTTTGGCCAGGAGGGATCTAGCACAGGCCAGTCTTCCAGCTACGGCCACCAGAGCTCTGGCTCCAGTCAGTCTTCTGGCTATGGCCGACATGGGGCTGGATCTGGCCAGTCTCCTAGCCGTGGCCGACATGGGTCTGGTTCAGGGCAGTCTTCCAGCTACGGCCAGCATGGGTCAGGCTCAGGACAGTCCTCTGGTTATAGTCAGCATGGAAGTGGCTCAGGGCACACCTCTAGCCATGGACAACATGGTTCCACATCAGGACAGTCCTCAAGCTTCGGCCAGAAGGGATCTAGCTCAGGGCAGTCTTCCAGCTACGGTCAGCATGGCTCTGGCTCACATCAGTCTTCCGGCCATGGCCGACATGGGTCTGGATCTGGCAGGTCTCCTAGCCAGGGCCGAAATGGGTCCAGTTCGGGGCACTACCCCGGCCACGGCCAACAAGGATCTGGCTCAGGTTGTTCCTCCAGCCGTGGCCATTATGAGTCTGGCTCAGGCCAGTCTTCTGGCTTTGGGCAACATGAGTCAGGCTCAGCACAGTCCTCTGGCTATAGTCAGCATGGTTCTGGCTCACATCACTCCTCTAGCCAGGGACGACATGGATCTACATCAGGGCATTCGTCAAGCTCTGGCCAACATGGCTCTAGCTCAGGTCAGTCTTCCAGCTATGGTCAGCATGAGTCTGGCTCCCATCAGTATTCAGGTCGCGGCAGACATGGGTCTGGATCTGGCCAGTCTTCAGGCCATGGCCGACGGGGGTCTGGGTCAGGGCAGTCTCCCAGCTACGGCCAACATGGGTCTGGCTCAGGTCGTTCTTCAAGTCAGTCTTCTGGCTATGGCCGACAGGGCTCTGGATCTGGCCAGTCTCCTAGTTGCAGCCGACATGGGTCCGGTTCCGGGCACTCTTCTAGCTACGGCCAACATGGGTCTGGCTCAGGTCGTTCTTCCAGCCATGGCCCATATGAGTCTGGTTCAGGTCACTCTTCTGGCTTAGGTCAACATGAGTCTGGCTCAGGACAGTCCGCTGGTTACAGTCAGCATGGAAGTGGCTCAGGGCACTCCTCTAGCCATGGACAGCATGGTTCTACACCAGGACAGTCATCAAACTTTGGTCCGGAGGGATCTTGCACTGGCCAGTCTTCCAGCTATGGCCACCATGGCTCTGGCTCCAGTCAGTCTTCCGGCTATGGCCGACACGTGGCTGGATCTGGTCAGTCTCCTAGCCGCAGCCGACATGTGCCTGGTTCAGGGCAGTCTTCTAGCTGTGGCCAATATGGGTCTGGCTCAGGACAGTCCTCTGGTTATAGTCAGCATGGAAGTGGCTCAGGGGCAGGTGGGTATTCTTATTGCAAAGGAGGAAGTAACTATGAAGGTGAAAGTTCTTGCTCAGATTTTCTCAGTTTTCATAGTAGGACTTCACCCTATGAATATATCCAAAAGCAGAGGTGCTACTTTTAGCGTTGAATAATAAATATAAATGCAACTTACTCAAGTAGCAATTTTAGAAATAGGAAAGTCATCTATGAATTCATCATGAAAGACAAGCAATCTATCATGAAATTCTTTCTAAAAGTGAATCTATCCTTTTCTGTCTCTTTCTTTAAAGCCTATAACTATAGCATATATCTTGTTATGGGGTTCCTTCCAAACACTGTTAGGCATTTGCGCTATTTGTTAGAAAATGCTGAGTGGAATAACTTGTTAGAATCAGGGTTAAACTTTGAGGAATAATGAAAAGCTTTTAAAGAGCTTTGGGTTTAGTTGGAGGTGTCTTTTTGAGGGCTCATCATTCAATTATAGATGGTGTCAAAGCTAACCTTACATTTCTTAAAAGCAAAATATTACAAATGCATTACCAGTCTAGATACAAAGCATTGTTTTACAGCAATTATTGTGCCATAATTTTTAGTGTGTCCCATGTTTGGTGTGTCCCAATTTTTGGTATTGTGGCAGAAGGTGAACGCTCTGAAAGCAAAGATGCAGCAGTGGTAGTGTCTTTACTTATCAAAACCATCAAGTCCCTTTTCTTGGGTATATCTGTAATCAGTAAGCTAATTAGTGGCATAAAAAGTAGCACCAGGGACTTTTCCCAAGCCTATGAGTAAGAGCATTATTTCATAAAGAACATGGATTTATCACTTCGGGGAAAAAAACATTCAAATGTGGGCTTTAGCTTGTTTTCAGCAAGAAAGATCTTGCTCCCTATTTCTAAGCAGCTGCTCAATATTGGGAAACATATTGAGGAGTTATTCCATGGAAATACAATGCTTTCCACCTACTACTGTATTTCAATAACCTTTCCACCTAAAAAAAATCATCCATGCCCAGATGAAAAGAAAGAGTATCTGTCACTGCTCTATAGTACCTTAATTTGACTGTAACATATTCGTTTCAAGTCTTTGGATTCAAACAAATGGATTGCATTAAAATTGACAATAAATAAATGTTGATTAAATACTAAGATTTTTCTCATCTGTGCTTCATTTCACTTCTTACATACAGATGGTCATCCTAGAAACCAACCCAGATAGGTATTTCCCAATATTCTATTTTTCACAAACAATGAAGAATAGATAAAGCATTCTTAAAACTCAATAAGAAAAACTACTTCATTTAAAAATGAGCAAAATTCCATGACACTAGTATTGGCAATGATTTTTTTTGATATGACACCAAAATCACACAATAATGTGGAGCTGTCAGCTCCATAAATGCTATTGTCCCGGAAGACCTTAGAGGGAGGCAACATACGGAGGTAGAAGGTGATATTTGTCTTAGTTTAACCAAAAGTTTTTAGTTTTAGTTTTTAACAAAATGTTTTTTTTTAAATTTAAAATTTAAAACAGAAGAAAGCTTATAGAATAATGATGTAAAGAAAAAAACATTTGTGTTCAGCTATACAATGTGTTTATGCTTTAAGCTAAGGGTTATTAAGAGAGTCAAAAAGTTTAACAATGTAAAAGTCTATAAAAGTAAAAAGTTACAGTACGCTAAGGTTAATTTTTATTGGAGAAAGAAATTTTTTTATAAATTTAGTGTAACTCAAGTGTATAGTGTTTATACACTCTACAGTAGTATACAGTAATGTCCTAGGCCTTCCCATTCACTCACCACTAACTGACTGACACACCTAGAGCAACTTCTAGTCCTACATGCTCTATTCATGGTAAATGCCCTATACAAGTATACCTTTTTTAACTTTTATGGCATATTTTTACTGTACCTTCTTTAAGTTTAGATACATTCAGATGCACACTTACCATTGTGTTAGTTGCCTACAGTAGTCAGTATAGTAACATGCTGTACAGGTTTGTAGCCTAGGAGCAATAGTCTATACCATATAGTCTAGTTGTTTAGTAAGCTATGCCATCTAGATTTGTGTAAGTACACTCTCTGATGTTTGCCTAAGGGTGCATTTTTCACAACATATCCCCCATTGTCAAGCAACACGATCGTGTACTTTACTATACGGCCTAGCAATTCCACTCCCAAGCGAAATAACTTATGTCTACATTGAAGATTTTTACATGAATGTTTATAGCAGCTTTAATAATAGCCCCAAACTTGAAACAATCCAAATGTCCACCAACAGATGAGTGGATAAACAAATTGTGGTATGGCTATACACTGGAATTCTATTCAGCAAGGAAAAAAAACAATAAACTACTGATACATATAATATAGATGAATCTCAAAAACATGTTGCTCAAAAGAAGCCATCCACAAAACAGTACATATTTATGATTCCATTTATATGAAACTTACTAAAAACAAACCTAATCTATAAAAATAGAAAGCAGATCAGTGGTTGACTAGGGCTGGGAGTAGAACTTGTGAACTGGCTGGAAGAGTCACAAAGGAACACTCTAGCGTGATGGAATAAATATATATGTAGCTTATAATCGTTGTTACATATATACTTCTGTCAAAACTTACATAATCATATATATTTTATTATATGGAAATTATATCTCAATAAAGTTGATTGTTTAAAGGCTTTTCTGCGCAACTTGACACACGATTTTTTTTTGTTTTTTGGTTTTTGGTTTTTTGGGTTTTTTTTGAGACAGTCTCACTCTGTTGCCCAGGCTGGAGTGCAGTGGCACAATCTCAGCTCACTGCAACCTCCATCTCCTGGGTGCAAGTGACTCTCCTGCCTCAGTCTCCTGGGATTACAGGCATGCAGCACCACACCCAGTTAATTTTTGTATTTTTAGTAGGCAGGGTTTCACCATGTTGGCCAGGCTGGTCTCAAACTCCTGACCTCAGGTGACCTGCCCACGTAGGCCTCCCAAAGTGCTGGCATTATGTGAGCCACCGAGATAAAGAAGGAGAGGAGTTTCATCTCATCAGATATCAAAATATATAACAAAGTTATATTATTTAAAACAGTGCAGAATTGTTATAGAACAGATATACAGTGCAATGTGACTCCAGAAACAGATCCATGCATACTTGATATACAAGAGCAGTGGTTTTGCCTATCACTGGACAAAGGCAACTCTTTCAATAAATGGTGCCAAGGTAATGAATTTTCCATAGGAAAAAAATTATCTCTATTTCACACCATTTTACAAAAATCACTTCCAAGTAAATAAAAACCTAACTGTGATAAGCCAAACTTCTAAAAATTTTTAAAGAAAATATAGGAGAATATCTTTATGACTTCAAAATAAGTGCAGATTCTTTAAACAAGAAATACACAAACCACCAAGGAAAGACTCATGACTTTTACTATAATTAAATTCCAAATGTCTATAAATCCAAAGACACTCTCAAAAAGTAAAAGGGACAAAGCACAGAGTTGAAGAACATTTTTCAAATGCCTATAAACAACAAATGATTAACAGCCACATTATATAAATAACATAAAAATTAAAAATTTTAAAAAAAACAGCAAAACTTATAAAAAGAAAATTCACCAAAGGTAATCTGAATGGCAAAGTGACATTTTTAAAACAATGCTCAGGGAAATAGATAATTAAAACACAATGAAATTCATTTCATACCCATCGGATCAGGAAAAAACTAAAGTCTGGCAATATCCAGTGTTGAGGACACTGAGCAGCAAAAGTCTAAATTGATGACTAATTAAGAGGAAATCTGGCAACCACAGACAAGAGTCTGTAACAGCAAAATGTTACAAACAACCTAAAAGTTCAATAGAAGAATAGATAAATTGTAATATACCCATACACTAAAATGCTATACAGCAGTTAAAATTCATGAGCTACAGGTATGTATATATCAACATGGACAAATTCCAAAAGTGTAATGCTAAGTGAAAAGGTTGTAAAACAAGTATACATGTTATGATACCATTTATATAGTTTTACAATATATATAACAATACCATATATTGTTTGTGGTTAATACATATTTGGTAAATGTAAAAATCTTTATGTAAATGGTAAACAGCAAATTCAGAACAGTGTGTACCTCTGGAAGGAAGGAAGAAAATGGGACTGAGACCGAATAAACAATACCAAAAGTTTTCTTAAGCAAGATGGTATTCATTATATTATTCACTGACTTGTAAATCTACACTTACTGGTAAATCTTAAATTATTTTGTAAGAAAAAGGATAACACAAAGAATAATGTCAGAATGCCCATCAAGGACCGCTCAAGGGAGAGTGTTCTGACAAGCTAGTCCACTGGTGTATCTGGTCCAGCATGTCCTAGTTTTTTAAATAAACGTCTCACCACGTGAGTGCCTAATGATACTCATCAGCTGAACCACACAACAAACCCTCTGCCATCTCTGCCATAGACTTCAAACTCACCAAGGGGCCTTCTAGAAAATTTGGCTTTCCATAGTTTTCCCAAAAGGAGAAAGCATTCATCAGCAAGATTAATACAAACACCCAGTGTTTCTGATAATGCATTTCTGACTGTAAATTAATAAAATGGCACTCTGGTTTTTATACTTCAGTCCCTGATGAGTTCAGTTACAATGAAACAGCTTTCCTGAGTCTGACCAACTCTGGGACACTGATATGAGTGCGTTTCTGGGCATATAAGGATGAGAACCAAACCCTGACCCTTTTTCTGGGCAACACCCCAACCTTATTCTTTGCCTTCCAAGGTAAGGGGCAAGAAAATTTTTCTAATAAGAGAAAGCAAAGAAATTCTCAATAAATGCTTAGTTATATAATTAAGCCAAGTTTTTCACAATGTTTCTCTTTTCCTTATTATGACTCTAGAACCTAAAGAACCATAATGTTACAGCTAAAAGAAGAAAAGAGAAAGAGGTGGGCTGTTTCACGCAGGATCTTACAGAATCTCAATACCTCATCCCGAGTTGGATCTTGTTTTTGTTAGTTTTTTTCTGTACACTCAAATGTGATCAAGCTCTGGGAGACAGATTAATTCTAAGCAAAGTCTTAAGGGTTCAATTTATTTATTTATTTATTAACTACAAGCTATAAATGTATTCAGAACAAGAATCAGCTGTTT